TATCCGATTTAAAACCACATACTGAAACGGCCTGGGTCGGATTTGAAAAAATCGGATTTGTCTTGTTCAGACTGTCATAAAAAAATCTGATATGGGTCAGATGGGTCAAAAAAATCGGATTTGGGTCGGATTTGCCTGCAGTGTGAACGTAGCCTCTGACACACATGCACAGTAGTGGTAACTGGGGTAGGCCGTCCTTCCACAGCAATTATTTTTAGTTAGCATATAGCTAAAATCTAACCATGGTTATATAATAGCAGCTGCATTCTGACGTGATAAGATCTATGTTTTATATTCAATTAACATATGATCTGATTAGTCGACTAATCGAATAAATAATCGGTGATTAATCGATAATAAAAATAATCGTTTGTGGCAGCCCTTCACGGGGACCACTACTCACACAGGGGTGGCCAAGAAAATTACATCATTTTTTACTTGAAAGTTTCTGCAGATCTTTGTGTTTTGCTCACTTCTTTATGGCCTTATACAAGCAGTGAATATCTTATAAACATGGGTGTCAGAACCATTTTAAAAGTGGGGGGGGACACACTGCTGGGGGGTCTGGGGGTCCTCCCCCAGAAAATTTTGAATGAAATAGATGTCATTTCCTGCATTCTGGTGTATTTTACCAAGATATTAAACATAATTTTACCTGCATAAATAAAAACTTAATTTAATAATTATTTCAGAGACAGATTCTTCATTAAACTAGTTTAATTATGCTGTTTTTAAACTCACTGATACAGCTGAGATAAGATTAATTAATGTGAAAAAATTTATCATATCCAATGACTTTAAGGGTGCTTTTTACTTTTATATTGTTTATTGGTTTATTTTTAATTGTAACACATGTCATTGTGCCAAATAATGACCTTCAACTGCATGTTTAAAACTAATATTAATAATTTTACACAATGAACAGGTGCAATACTGATAACCACCAACAGTGTATTTAAAGGGGCATTTCACTTTTTCTGATTTAGTCTTAAGTCTACTCATAACCATAAAGGACAGAGCATCATGCAGCCTTCGTAACAGAAAATGATACTGTGTTATGATGACAAAAAACATAAACATTTGTCACCATAAGTCAGATAACATAAAGAAAACAATTTCCTGATGCATCTCAGTAATGCAAGTAGAAAAAAAATCAAAAATATTGATGAAGTCTCTTTGAGGAGAGACGAAACGTTTCACTAAAGAAGAACCCGTCCAGAGGACCTACTAATTTTTTTCTTTTTGATGAATAAAACAATCACATTTTGTCACTTCTTTGAGCTTGGTGATGTTTCAAACTGTTAAACACTGCCACCAACTGTTCAGGGGGATTATTACACCCCTAAAGGTTGTTTCACTGTGGAAGGGGTGTGTACAGCAGGGTGGCCAAAGATTTGTCTGTGGTGGCCATGGCCACCCCCTGGCTCCGCCCCCTGGCTCCGCCCCTGAGCAGGAGATAAAAACGCTTCGAAAAACAGAAAATAAATACGCAAATATTTGGCATTAAGTGAAAAGTTCAGTGATTTTTGATTTGGTTTTAAGAACTCTTGTTCTCAGGTAAAGAGCATCTGTTGCCACGGTGACAGGAAGTCCAGATAAATCCTGATCTGAGGTTTAAGTTATCTGGTTAACTCTGCTTCAGGTGGAGGAGCCGGAAATCTTCACAGGTTTGATTTTTATCGCTTAATTGTTTGGTTTAATTCGGAGTTTAAAGTAAAAACAGAAGCCTGAGGTGACGCAGTTGACGCTGCGCGTGCACGTGATCCCACCTGCACCTCACCTGTTCAGACTGAAACACAACAGCTACTGCTGTGTCTAGGTTTCAGCAGGTTTCAGCTTTTCCCGCAGGCTCCGCCCACCTCCAACCTGCGCTCAGGTGGAACAACAAGGAGACGTGACCTCTGACCTGCGTGAAGGTCACCTGCAGGGCCGGGGCGCGCGCGCGCACACACGCACACGCACAAAGAGGACTGAGATGTTTCCCAACCTGAAGTCCGTTTGAGAACCGAACCCCCGCGAGACCCACCGCAGCTCGGCGCGTGCACGTCCCGTCGCTCCCATCCAGCCTCCTCCTCCTCTTTCTCCATCCTCCATCCGGACACGCACGCACCGTCCCCATCACCGACACAAGCGCACACACGGGCGCGCGAGCACGCGCCCCGCACACGCCCTCAGCCAGCGCACGTTGCGCACGCGCTCCGTTAATCAGCCACTTACCGCAGAAACGAGCAGATTGTCTCCAGGAGTCGATTTGTTGCTGCAGACGGGATCTCGCGACGAGCCGCCTCAAGTCTCGCGAGAGGACGGGTCAAAGGGGCTTCTCACGTGATCCGGCTGTGTCACTCTTTTTTTTTTTTTTTTTGTAATATTAATTCAAGTGTACAAACGTTTAGGGATGTAACAACAATAAACAGGAGAAATAACATTTTCAAGGTACAAGATAGAACAGAGCAAACAATAGAAATAAAAGGAAAAAAATTCATACACATTCACACAGTCGTACAACTACAATCAGACGTCTTCAAATATTTTCAAATTTTCAAATCCATTCCATAGAGACTTTGCATTCTTACATTTCATTCTTATTAAAGCAGTTAAATAATTTTCAACAAGATGTTTTTTTAAATACATTAAAGATAGGCTTCACCTTTTTCCATTTACAGCAATGAATGAAATATTTTGACATCGGTAGTAAAATGTTTAAAACATAGTCTGATTGTGCATCCTTCAAGTTCAATCCAAATATTATGTTGTCCAGAGTTAGTGTGTCCTGTAACTGGATCTTTGTAGAAAGCCAGTCCAGAAAATCCTCCCAGAAAGTTTTTGTGTAAATACATTGATAAAAAAGATGATCTGTTGTTTCGATGTTGGATTCACAAAAAATACAGTTGTTATGGTTAATATTAAATCTCATTCTCAGCATTTCATTGGATGGATAAACTTCATTCAAGATTTTAAAACGCACTTCTTTAAAGAGTAGCTTACCCCAAGATTAACTTTTTTAGCTGATAAACTGTCTAGAATGTGTCTAAAATGTTATATAGTACTGTTTCTGGGCTAATTTTGATGTTTTTGTGCGTACTTGTTCAAATCTGTAATATTTGGTCTAAAAACGT